TAGCTATTAAAGCTATCAACGACACAACTAGACTTAATAGCTTGGTTCTTATACTCTTCGTTTTTAAGACCTTACTAAAGCTAACGGAACAAGATCGACTTGCCGCGTTTACTTAAAAGCGTGCTGCTGCTATTAACAAGGTTATAAAAGAAGTACGAAAATGCTACGCCGCGAAGCAGATTAAAAACGCACTTAAAAAGAAGAATAGACCAATTACAAAGCATACCTTAGACCTCTTTATTAGTTTATAAGTACTCGTATAGCGAGAAAATCAAAAGTAAAAAGGCCCTTTTCAGCTGCTTAGCAAGCAAGGGCATACGTGCATAATAGCATGTCCGAGACTTACGGAATTTAAGTCAACCTTAGTAAAACCTTACTACTTTGAAGTTGAAAAGCTGCCAGAAGAGTTGCAAGTACTTAAAGTAGAAGTGGAAGATGATCAGAGCGAAGGCGAAAAAGAACTGAAAATACGAAATTCGTCTAAACCTCAACATTCGCTTAATCTAAGAAGCTCGCCAAGACTAACAAACAGCCCTTCTAACCTTCAACTTGCTAATCCTTAAAAGTCAATAATACTAATGGTCTAGATACCTTACTAGAAGTACGATCTTAGTATCCCGATCGTGCTCGACGAAAAGAAAGGCAATTCTTACGTTCTATTTACTAAGGACTCCGAAGTGCTGGTTACCGATAAAGAACGCCGGGACTATAAGCTCTTAGCTAAGCTACGAGCCGAAAGGATTATTAAGAGCCTTAAGGCATTATTTTAAGAGTCTAGAGCAAAAGAATTAGCTAGATTAATAGCTTAAAGCATCTTTTAAGTGATCTCGAGCACTGACTTACGAGCTAAAAGCGTTAAGATCTTCGAATCTAAGTTTGTTAACGAGATCAAAGGCAAAAGAACACTTACGTTATACGAGAAGTCTCGTATAATAGTCCAAGCCTTCTAAGATAAAAGCAAGACGAAAGTACTTACTGAGTCACTTATAGTGCAACGAGCGAGCTAAAGACTCTGTTGTGCTTTAGCTCTTTCTTTAATAAAAGACTACGAGTGTCAAGTCTATAGCAAAGATATCACTTAAGCTTATACTTAATTAAGCACGAAGCTTATTCGAATAATCGTCGTGCGATTACTTAAAAAGATCACTTATCGATTCCTTTTCGGCACTTTGTTCTTTATGACTAGCCTTTTGTATAAGATCTTTAAAGCAAGAACGCACTAGTATAAGCGTTTTTCAAAGCATTTTACGGACAACTTCGAGATAAAGCAATCGAGCTTTAATTCTTGCTTTTTTATATCAACTAATAAAGATCAGCTAAGAATAGCTGCTTTACAGACGAATGATGTTCTTATAGTTGTCAATCCAGCTATAAAAGCAAAGGAAGAGAAAGAGCTAATCAAATTTAAGCTAAAGAGCAAGGAAATAAAGATCTTTACACACGCCGAACCGATGATTTTTAATAAGTGTAAGTTATTTTTAAATAAAGACGGGTTCGGAGTATTAGTTGATTAAAAAAAGCAAAGTGAGAAGCTTATAATAATCAAGCTCGATTCAGCTATACGAGCTAAAGAGTACTTAAAGCAACGTGCTCGAGAAGCGTATTTAGCTACTATTTGCTATTTAAAAGCATCTTGTGCTTTATCGATAGCTGCTTAGCACTAAGAACCGAAAGACGAAGATTACAAAGCTTTTAATAAAGTGATCTAATAGCTAATCGATCACTTAACTCGAAAGATCTATTACGTACTTTTAGACTTAAAGACGACGAAGCTTTTTATATTCGTGAACGAAGCGTTTGCTAACAACGCTAACCTCAGCTCTTAAATCGGTTTCGTAGCTATCTTTAGCAATAAGGCTTACGTAAGTGAAAACGAGTTTACTTTAACGAGTAACATCTTTTATTAAGTGTTATAAAAGTGTAAGAGGGTGATAAGAGCCGTATTAGCTTTTGAGCTATACGCTATGTCTTTAAGTATCGATATAGCTATTGCTATATCGACTACTTTTACTTAAATCACAGCTTAGCTAAGAGTACTTAATTTCCTCGTGGTTATGTGCACTAACTTTTACTCGCTTTACGAGTGCATAATAAAGCTAAGGACTATTAAGGAGAAGCGCTTAATAATCGATATTATAGCTATTCGAGAGTCATACGAGAAGCGGGAGCTCTTTAAAGTACGCTAGATCGAAAGAAAATCCAACCCGGCTGACGCTATGACTAAAGTCGAAGCTAATACCTTCTTGCAAGAGCTGGTTTTGACCAATACTTTAAAGGTATAAGTGGACGGGTAAGTAGAAAGGCCGCTGTAAAAGAAGGAAAGATAAGATTGTTTTTCTTTTGTTTAATTACCTTCTTTCTTTTTCGGTCGATATAATAGTTAGCAAAGCATTACTTGCCAAAGAGAGAGTTGCCGGTGTCGGTATATCTATATCGACCTTAGCTAGTAGTAGTAGTAGTAGTTAGAGAAGCTCATCCGTGAACTATAGTTCACGGGCCACTTAGCATGCTTCGCTTAACATGCCAACAGTCAAAGGACCCCTTAACTTGACAAGTAAACCTATTAGTTAGTTAGTACACGTGATTCCTTTTAATCATATAAAAGGAATCAGCTCCCTTGAGTCTTAGGGAGCAGACAGAATTCAAATACCTTATCAACCGAGTGTTTTGTAATTGCAAGTACTTTGACGACCGTTACGACCTTACGAATATATATTTCCAATCGCTTGGAAGCAATCTAACAAGTTAAATTAATGAATTCCGGAGTCCGATAGCTAGCGTGATTATCTATTAACATAAGCTTTTAAGATTTATTCGGTCTACAATTTGCGTTTTTAATATAATGCTCGAAGTATAATAATGCGATTTTATTATCTATGAATCCATTTTCAGCTTCCTTAATAAGTGTGCTTGTAAGAAGTTTCGAAACGAACTATTATTATATAAGTCGTTTGCTTTATATAAGAATCATCGAAAGAATAAGTTTTTAACTAGTCGCATTAATCATCTCGATTATTGTTACAAATCTTCGATTTTCCGAGCTAACATTATAGAACTATAGATAAAAATTAATATATAAAATTTAAGTAAAACAATACGATACAATATACCTTTCGAATAGCTTTAAAGACTAATATTTCCGTTCTTCGCGGACAGCTAACACGAAACTTAGTCTCGTCGAAATTGATGATATCTTTAAGTCGAATATTTATCTTTTTTAAAGTGCGCCGATAGCTCTTAAACTACTTATATACCTCTTGCGTGTCTTGCGCTACGATTCGTACTTGAGCGAAAGGTTTGGTCTTGATTTTGTGCAAGCTATTCGTTTTCTACTACTTTGTAAACCAACTCTAGCTTTACGGCTTCGCATATTCGTCGTATGTTTTGCGTAAAGCGAATATAACGTTGTAAATCAATTGCGGTATAAGAGTAAGCCAATTAATAAAAAGTTGAAGAATGAATTAGCGTAACGCGTTGATATGCTAGCTTTGCAAGATCTTGTTTTGATCGCCGTGCTTGCGATTCTTCGATCGCTTAAAGTAACTATTCAACGTGCGCTCACTAAGATCGTAAATACGCGCGGCAGTTTTTTGAGTCTCGTAAGGGTATTCGGACAAGAATGTTATAGCGCGTCGAAGACGCGTCGCAAGATCTTCAATTGCATTAGGACTACTTAATTGAGCGTGGTTTTTGTATTGAAAAATCCTTAAAGGCTTCTTCGAACGAGTGCGTTTTCGACCTATGATTAATTGTAAAATACAATTGAATTAGTTATGCGGTTGTAGATTAAAAAGTAGTATTGTAAATTGTATTTTGTATACGAAAACTAGTAGTAAAAAAAAAATCCGCACTCGCTTCCGATCCGCAGTCGCTTATACCGACTAAGACTGAAAGGCTGAAAGGAGGCCCACCTAAGCGAGCCGACGATTAATATTGAGGGTTTTAGATTTTGGGAATCTTCAGTCGATCTATTTCTTTCGATAGAAGCAATACTCAACAACAGCTGTCAGCTGAAATGTCAACCGCATTCCTTCACAAGCCTTCGGCGTCTAAAAATGCAATGTAGAAAAGCGGAAGAAAAAAACCCAAATCGTAGGTAGATCTTCTCGGGATCTAACGGTAGCGAGAAGGAGGAAGACGATGGTATAATCAAGAATGAGGCCTTGGCCCACCAACGTGCATCGAGATCCCCCGGCTGATGCACGACTCGGTGCGTGCGTGCATGATCCTTATACTCCGAAGATACTAGTAAATAATCCGTGTGGATAGGGAGCAGATAGGATAGCCCCTGTATACAGAAGGAGCAGGTACCTACTTAGAAAGACATCTCTCTGTCAGAGATCAATTGTTGAGGCAAAGGATAGAGGAGCAATGAAACCATATAGGCGTTGCGATGGAAATGGCAGTTCCTGGTTCCTGGCTCCTGTGTTCCGAGAAACGATGAGAGCGATGGATAGATCTGGAGTTGAGGATGATTTCAATCGCAGTGGGACATGTAGTTATATGATGACTTACTTACGGTTGTATAGAGCACAGTTGTAAGGTTGTATCCGTACTTCTCCTATCCGTACGGGGCTAATCTCGCCTCGGCTGAACAATTTCCCTTAGCACCTCCGGGCCCCGACTACGGACTATACTGACCCATCTTGACCTCTCATACAACTGCACTCGCTCACTCCCTCGTTCCATTCCTTTCACTTCACTCCTTACTATTCCACAGCCTCAATTCAGTCAGTCCATCGCACCCGCATTCTATCAACTCAATTCGTGTCGACACGCCCCGTTCAATCCCTCACTCCCTAGAGATCAATCATATCAGCCCTGATTGCGATCGACTAGCTACCGTCCTACCGTCATACCGTCATACCGTCCTACCGTGCCAGCGCCTTGCCACCCGACTCAGCAATCCTCCTCCGAAGCTGAGCGCATCAGTTGCAGAACATCCTCTCCAACAACACTGACAAACACATACAAACCACGGGTTATCAAAGACTTTCAAGATGCCGTGCGGACTCGGAGGAAACAAGACGACCCAGAGGAAGCTGGTGTTATTGTAGGTTCGCTTCGTACCCGGAGGAGGAATGTGTGCGCCGGAATTGAGATATGATTGCTATGCCAGCGCCCGATAAGCATATGAATAGCAGGCTGATGTGATGGGTGATCGATACAGAGGCGACGGTGCGTGCGGCAAGACCTCGCTCTTGAATGTCTTCACCAGAGGGTATGTTGATCTGATGTACCGATCACGACTCGGAGAAACTAACTACAGCACAGGTACTTTCCAACAGTTTACGAACCTACCGTATTTGAGAATTACGTGCATGGTACGCTTCACCCTGTAGATGATCCGAATTGACCTGGGGGGCATAATTCAACCTGATCTGATACAGATATCTTCGTTGACAACGTCCACATCGAGCTCTCTCTCTGGGATACCGCGGGCCAGGAAGAATTCGACCGCCTCCGCTCCCTCTCCTACGATGATACCCACGCAATCATGCTCTGCTTTTCAGTCGACTCCAAGGACTCCCTCGAGAACGTCGAATCGAAATGGGTTGGTGAGATCGCCGAAAACTGCCAAGGCGTCAAGCTGGTCCTCGTGGCCCTGAAGTGCGATCTGCGCGAGCAAGCCGGCGACGACGAGGCCCCAGCAGCAGAAGGATTACAACCCAGAGAGAAGAAGGACATGATTGATTACAACCAAGGACTCGAGGTCGCGAGACGAATCAATGCCCTCAGATACCTGGAGTGCTCGGCAATGCGCAATCGGGGCGTCAACGAGGCATTCACCGAGGCCGCGAGAGTGGCGCTGAGTGTCAAGGGCGCGGGCTCCAAGGACAACTCGACTTGCGATGTTATGTAAGGGCTGCTGCAGATACGGAGTTCGTGGCGTTGGTGGACTACCTGAGCGGTCATTTTGCGATTTGAGTGCACCCTTGCCCACTGTACATTTTTCTTTTTGTGGTACCGGGTGCATGGACGTGAGGACATGGGCATTGTGCATGGAGGGGTGGCGGAAAGGTTAATGGGGCTCCGATCCATGATTTCAGATTGTTTCCACTATCCCGAAGGACTGATTCTCACGTCGCGCATCATCGCCCGAGCCCTTTCACTCGCCGAACTTTCGAATTCCTCAAGAGGCAGAACAAACCGAACTATACCCCCTCCCTTCATTCGCTGTCTGCCGCACTTCCTCCTTTCTCTCGTCCCGTCGATTCTCGGCAAGCTTTGATTGCAATGCTTACCCGAAAAGTTTCACCTATGCACATATATGTCGAGCATCCGAGAGAGAACGGATCTGGGGCATCTGGATACAATGCACTCTTCAACTATTTGGCCGCGGATTTTGTGGTTGCATCTCGGGGTGATATGGGAGTTAGTTGGGCTCGGCAGATGAGATGACAGTACTGTACTTTTCTTTTATAACGCATTGGGTTCAGAAGAGGCGGATGCAATAATTGGAAGCCGGAGCCAGAAGTTGCTGAGTCGTGACTATTACTACTACAGGTGCATTCGGTAAGGGGAGACGAGACGAGACCCCCCAACGCAAGTGCAGGGCGTTGAAAAGCGCGAACTGGCGTTTTCTATCCCGGTCATCATCATGAGCCGCCAGATGAGAGTATATATTGCTCATGGCAGATCTCTTCATATGATCGAACTATGAGGAAAGGTATTTTTTTAAAAACGCGGGGTTATTGTACGTATGGGTCCCTAAATCATCCCTCTTTTGTTCCTTTTTCCTCTTATCCCTGCTGCATAGGGCGGTATGATATTACATGATATAATTTTATAATATAATCTATATGCTATATGTACTTGATATCATATCATATAATGCAAAAACCATCATGATTATCCACTTGTTTGGTTTACTACTACTGCTATCAATATTACTACTACTACTACTACTACTACTACTACTAGTACTACTACTACTTCCTGGGAGGAGTGGGTTTTGAGAGTCAAATCTCTGCGGTCACGTCGAGTACAGCTTGCATTTTTTCTTATGGTATTGTTATCGTTGCTGTTTTTATTACTCTCTGTTAGAGCAGTCGTTCTTCTTTCTATCTATCTATCTCTACTGGAGCCTGACTTCTTCGTAGCCGCCGACTCGGGGAGCGCGCTGAAGACGAACCCGAACGGGAGCTTCGCACGGATGACCGCCAGCAGGAGCCTCCCACACCAGCCCGCCGCCGCCAGGGGGCCATACAAGAGCGCCGTGCCGAAGGCACCGCTCTTCAAGGCGTCGAGCGTAGCGTCGTACAGGACCTTCCTCTCCCAGTCCTCGAGGGACAGCTGTGGTTGCTGTTGCTGTTGCTGGCCGCGGCCGCGGCAGAAGAAGAGGACCTGCTCGAGCAGCAGGGCCTGCCTGGCGCTGGCGGTGGTGCTGAGGGCCATGTGCGGGCGGACGAGGCGCAGGGCTTCTCCCGCGATGAGCACCCTGTTGTCCCAGGCTGCGGCGCGCGGGCAGGACACGTCGGTGACGGCGGTGACGAAGGGGTCGGTGGTGAGGGACACGAGCGTGGCGAAGGGGGTGCACATCTGGGAGTGGGCGAGCTGCTTGTATGCGGCCCAGGCGAGGGGGTCCATGCTGCCGGCGGGGAGGGTGGTGCGGTGGAGGGTGCCGGAGCGGTCGGTCATGATCTGGGTGAGGGCGGGCGAGGCGGCGGCGAGGGGGTGGTACCAGACCCAGTTGTAGCGGCGGTGGCCGGGCTGGAGGGATCCGGAGGCGCCGGGGATGATGTACCTAAGGGTATATATTGATTAGCATGGCCCGGTGGGTTGCTGCTGCTGCAGTGATGGGAGGGCTGTGTCTGTCTGTTTATCTTACATGAGGATGTAGTTTCCCTTGAAGCAGAAATAGGTTAGCTTCTCGTCGAAAGCTTGCCTCACTGGGTCCGGGACCAGATCCTCGTCGACGGTTCCTCGGAAGGCGACATAGCCGGCGTAGTCGCGCTTGACGTCTGGGAACAGGTTCTGGCGGAGGTTGGAGCTGGCACCGTCGGCAAGGATGACCAGATCCGCATAGAAGGTGCCGGGCTTCTGGTCATCGATGAGACTGATATAATCGACTCGGACACTATCATCAACACGAGAGAGCTCGGTAGCCTTCTTGCCCAGATCAAAGACGGCGGTTCCATCTCCCTCATCAGCGAGCGGGGGCCGAGCACAGAAACTGCTGGCGTATCCGTCAAAGTTGGCACGCAAGCGGTAGTAGATGAGACTCCAGGAAGTCATCTGCAGAGGCTTCTTAATCACGCGCTTGACCCCGGCGTCACGGTTGAGCCATTGGATGCCAGGACTTGCAATGGACCAAGGCTCCTTGCTGCGGTCGTGGACTTCCATGAACCTCTCGAACTGTAGGTGTGTAGTGATGCCCGCGGCGAGGTCGGCTCGTTCAGACTGACAGTTCTGCTCAAGAATGCGTACATTGTGACCAAGTCGCTTCAGAACGACTCCATGCATGAGACCGGTGTTGGACCCCCCGATCTACCCTTTGTCAGCATACACTATGCATAGATCGAGACCAGGCGCGCGCTGAAAGAGGGGTTTCGAGGACTTACAATGATTATATTCTTTCTTGTGGACGTAGTAGCCATCTCGCCTAAGAGAGGTTCGGTCGACATTTTAAGTTTCTATCTATATATTGCTGTGTATGTGTTGCTTTGTATGAGTTGCTGTGTATAAGTTGCTGTGTATGTGTTGCTGATCTGTATCTGCTTCTCAAATTGACGTGACCCGTTGTTGTAATCAAGGGCCAAGAGAAAAAAAAAGCAGATATAAGGCTGCGCGCGTTTGTTTTTGTCGGCGCGCATAAACCAAGAAAACAAAAATTTAGCGCCGGTCGCCGAACCTGGGAGGTGAGGTAGTGGCTCGAGCTTTAAAGTGGGTCTAACCGTCCTCTATTAGGTCACACTTCGCTTAGCCAAAGGGGCAAGCACGGTAGCACGAGCAAACACTATTACCGACGTGAAAATCTGATCCCAAGTCACACACATTCACAGCTTGATAGAATTTCTTTCTAGCCACAGCCTTTCGTGCTACACCCTGATGTTCCAATCATAGTATATATATATATATAGGTTTCGTCTCTCACGCAAGACAAGATTCAGCCTTGCTTGTACCGCCTTGTCCTGCCTTGTTCTCCTTTGTACTGCGCCCTCTTATCCTCTCTTACCCTTCTTCCTTTTCCGAGTTGTCGAGCCCCCAGCCATAGCCTGCCTTGAAGATGGGGGCGCGGCTGTGGTATCGCTCCAAGTGGCTGCTAGCATAAGAGGCTCTTTCCGCCCTCGTTTCCTCCCCCGCGTTCGTTCAGCCATTTTCTCACAAGGCTTGTTTCACGAACGGCTATCCATCCTGCACTAGTAAACCATGGGAGAGCATCCGCTCCATGCACAGGCGAAAGCCACCACCACGGCATCCACACTCGTCTTCGCTTTGGCACTCGTTTCTGTCTGTTTACGCTTCTATACGCGGCGGATGATCAAGGCAGGCTGGGCTGCTGATGACTGGTGGATATTGGTGGGCCTATTCCTTACGCTCTCAGCAGCTAGTATCTTGCTATACGGTAAATTCCACTTTTTTGCGATTTATCAAAATCTTTACCGTGGCTAAGAAACTTCTTCTAGGAGTCCGAGAGGACCCAAGTGGTGGTGAGGGTATCAACCGCGACGATCCGGATTTCAATTATCATCTACACGTAACCTACCTTAAAACCTCATTCACAGCAGCTACCCTGTACTTCTCTGTCGTCACGTCTATCAAGATTTCCATCTTGTGTATGTATCGTCGGATCTTTCCCGTCGATGGGTTCTTTATCCAGTCCCAGATAATGGGCGCCCTAATCCTCGTCTGGTGGCTTGTCGGCTCGGTCTTGACGACCGTCTCCTGCCTCCCATGGAGACGATTCTGGGAGGGCCCGTCCGCAGGCGGATACTGCTTCAATTTCAACATCTACTGGTAGGTAGCGCAAGTTGTCGCCATACCCTTCCCCAATTCTTCTCCGGGGACCACCCTAGAAAGACAATCAATCACTAAATCCCCCGTGCCCTTCTAGGATGTCCATGGGTGCCGTAGAGCTCGTAATCGACACGCTGCTCCTGATCCTGCCGGTGCGAATGGTTCTCGTCCTGCAGCTCTCACGTCAACAAAAGATCTTGGTAGTGGGTATCTTCACGCTCGGAAGTTTGTAAGTATATATATATATATAGATATATATATATATATTATTCTCTCCTCGCGGCTCTTACCAGCTCCACAACTAACCGTATCGCAGCGTCATTGTGACGGGTCTCGTGCGAGTCATTCTGGGATACAATCCAGGGAGCCAGAATGTCGCCTTCCCGCGAGCGGAACTCTGGTCTGCGGTCCACATTGGAACGGCGATTATCTGTGCCTGTCTGCCTACCCTGCGCCCGCTGATCAAGCGTGCGAGTACAACTGCTTCATCTTTACGGCGCAATTACGGGTCCCCGTCTAACTCGAGGGGGCACAACACCCCTGGAGAGTCGAGTGGATCCAGGACTGCGTCGAATAATAGAGGACCGCCACAAGTTCTGGCACTGAAGAATGTGAAGAGTGGTAGGCAGAACGATACCGTGTTACTGACGAGAGGGAGCAGTGATCTGGTGAGGCTTCCAGATTTTGAGTCGAGAGACAGTGTTAGGGAGGTGCGGAGGGGACCCGCGATGGGGAATGTGGAGTTGGTGTAGTGCCTGGAGGCCTGGAGTCCTGGCGTTGTGGTCAAGTGACAGGGCTTGGGCTAGATAAATCAAGGAATGGATTTAATCAATCACTATCACCGTACAGAACTGCAGTCTCTCTCTCTCTCTCTGAAAGCGGAGAGCATTGCCAATGGACTTCAACACGGCCGACGAGGAGGATTGCGTCGCACTATTTGTACCTGCCATGATCCCATCAGATGGCCATACTTGTAGGTTGTCACTGTCATTTTCCAAAGTGTGGCCGGCATTGCACACATAGCTGATTGCCAAATTCGTATCTGCTATCATTGCTTGCTTGCTATATGCATGGGACTTGACTCTCCAACCTAGCCACATCTTCATCTTCTCGGAAAAGCCAAAACTGGCTAGGAACGCTGGAGAGGCGACGCAGCTGTGCGTACAGCTAGCTCTATCGCCGCGAAAGAATATTTCATCCTCTCCAACATGTCAATATTTTGCGAAGGCTCCTTGATCTCTGGCGGATGCAGCGTAGCGCAATATAAGTAGACAGAAGGAGTGAGCTAGCACTGGTGATACCGAGCTCTGGGCGAATGATAGCAAGATATCAACAGTGCTGGATATTCCTCGGTGAGGTGAAGCAAGGTCTTGACTATATTTGGTTCTAAAAACGCATATACTCAACATCCATTCGCACGAGGGAAGTAAATTGTGAGTAAGAAAGCAATCAAATATAGTGAATAAAGCAATCGTTCTATTGGGCTCATATCTCCAACATCTCGGTTCGATACAAGCTGGGCCAAAAGCCACCTGCTTATAGAGTATCTAGCCAAGAACAGACTTACCAAGTGTTTGATTCGATTTAGAAGTTCAACGACGTATAAGAAGAGCCTTACTCCAGAGGTCATACAACTGAGAGCCATAAAGACTTTGGCGAATTCATCCAAAAACGAAACACATCCCGATGCAACCCTTGCTGCTAGATTCGAGGAAATGAAATGAAGAGCTCTGTCTGATTGTGCGATGGTCGACGACCCAGTCACACTGCCAGCTAGCCGGAGTCATGGTGCTAGTAGTAACGTACTGAGAGCAAGGCCAACTATCAGAACAAACTTGACCCAGCCCTATCTACTACGCCTCTCCTCACTACCACAGAAAGGTTCGCTATCGAACCCAAAACCCCACTGTCAAAGATCCACGTCACCGCCAAGTAAATCGCAGAATTTTCACTTGCCAGCTTCGTGTAAATATACACCAAACTCCGTAGGAATAGTCGAAGAGTGAGTTGTTCGGGCGAGTTTTAAATTCTCATTCCCTCCCAAAGTTAATCACTCACTCCTAAGCCGTCAAAGACGTACGTGCTATTTGAAAGCGAAGATTCTTAGTATCGTCTGTTCCTTGCTATGGTATTGCAACCTTGCTACTCATCGCTATAAATCCCATCTCTTCCGCAACGACTTGCACACACACATATATATGCATAATATCACCAAAATCTTACCCAGAGAGACGGAGGGGCTACACAGCCACGGAGAGGGATATCCATAAGATCATAAGGACGACCTACAGAGCACGGCAGGAGCCCATCCACCATATCGATCTTCTGCGAGTGGTTACTGTCCATGAGCAGGTAGGTGGGCTGGTGAGATTTATAGACATACAGGTGCGTTGCAAAAGCCGGGAGGGAGTCTGGAACCGGAGGGAGGGGGGGGAACAATAAGGATGGGAAATGGCGATTGAATTTCAAGATGTGAGTTCCTGAATTGAGAGATCATTGGGCCTGCCAGGACGCAAGGCGAGTGAATCGAATAGCGAATACGCTATAGAGTGTCTTTTTTTTTTAAACAAAGGAGAATAGTCGGTCAAGCAAGGGTCATGACGCCTTGATGACAGTCAAATATCAATCAAGTAGGAAGTGAGTGTTAGTAGTTAGAGTATTTCAGTCGAGAATATAGACGGATTGCTACTTCAAATAAGAAAATTTAGCAATGGACTACAGGCCGAAAAGAGTCTGTGGGCAAATGAGGCACCTTCTAAACCTAACCTCAACGCCTCACGCCTCACCCCTCACGCCTTACGCCTCCCTCTCAGAACCCCAAAATGCGATATTCAACCAATCCGTAAATCATCGTATACAAAACAGTGTAGTTTCACAAACCCTGCTGCACCGCCAGCAGCGACCCTTTCATCAGGGCCGAGATGGCGATTCCCATCATCTTGCCGTCAAGATTCTCCTCCTCGGGAAGCCCATCTCCCTCACCCCCTCCGTCCGTCTTCGGGATACCAACAACATGATGAAGATCATCCTTTGCATCCGGGCGCTTAACGAGAGGCTTCACGAGCTTGAAGTGCTCCAGTACGTCTTCGCCGGAAGCGCCGACCACTGCCAGAGCATCGTACGCGATCACCTTGGTGAAATAAGGCAGCATGGCCTCGCCCAATGGATACGGTTCATCTGGCTCGTGACCAGCGGCGAACCATGTACTCTTGGTCTTCACAGCCCAGTCTTGAGTCATGTGTGGCGCAAACGGGCGGTCGCTGCAGCAGCGAGCGTAGAAGTTCAGTTCCTGACTGGTCTGCACGCCGCGCAAGTAGCGGCCCAAGGGATGACCGGTATCGTGTAGAGATTCGAAGAGGGAGCTGTAAATTGGAGTAGCGTTTGCGGCGACTTTGGTCCATGCCGTGGAGGGCACCTTGTACTTCTGGATGAATTCGTGGAAAGTCGCTGCGCCCTCGAGGTCAAATCTGTTATTTGCAGCTGCTGCATCAGGGACCAGCTTGCCATCCATGATACGATAGCCACCTTGGAGCACAACTTTTGAAAGGTTATTCTTGAGAAGCTCAGTGTGGTTCTTCGAGAATTCGGCAATGTCCATCAAGCTCGAGATCGTGAGAACTGTAAGTTTTTTGCCATCTGTAGCTGCTTTCGTGAAGATCTTCGTCAGAAGATCTTGTCCCTCGGGAAGGCTGGTCTCGTCGGGCGCGATAAAGTCATCAGTGTTATCAAATTCGTGGCCGTAATTGTTCAGCTCTCTCTGGGCGTCTCCAATACTTCCAATGCCAATCTCGACTTTGGAGAGACCAAGAGCATCAAGCGCACCTCGTCCAAAGAGTGCTCGCTTCTTAGCTGGGGTTAAATTCGCAACAAAACCTTTGAGCTGTATGATACACATTCGATCGAGCTCCTTCAGACACATCATGGCCATCAAATCATCGTAATCCTTTGCAAGATCCGTGATCGTAACGATATGAGGCGTTCGGTCCTTGCCATCTTCCTTAGTCTCCTTTTGTCTTTTGTTCAACACCTGCAGCAGGCCCTCATAGAAAAGTCCCTCTCCCATCGTAAGTCCGCTCGGAATACGAGAATCTGCTGGTTGGTAGGGTCCGTCAAGGGAGTTGCCTACGGGTTCAGGAACATAAGTGCCTGCAAACACGGAGTTTACTTTCTCAAAATGCTCCATTAGATCCTCTCTCGTGAATCTCTCATAATCCTTGAAGGATAGGCAGCCTAAGACATACTTCAACAAGTTCTTGCTGTATTTCGATTGAAGTACTTCCTGCTTGAACTGTCCGAACTTTTGGCCATTATCCAGTGGAGATAGACAATTGAATTCCTCGTCCCAGAAGCGACCACGCGTGAGAATGTGAAGCATACATTTTCCGACTTGCCATATCGTGTTTGGGGAGGCCACAATGCAAGCGGGTGCTTCTGGCCACGCGTGACTCTTCAAAACCGTCAGCTCCGTGTTTAAGCAGATATAGAAGCTGAAAATCGTACCTTTGGGACCAGCTCCGAGATTAAAGATGCAAAGATCTTCCAAACTATCGGCTCTGGAAGTGTTCCCTGAACGCCATATTTACTGTTGAAGCGTGGTCAGTACCAAATGGTCTCACAACCCGGGGAACTTACTTGTACAGAGTAGCAAGAAATTTCTGAATGTCGCCGCATAGCCAATATTCTCGATATATCCCAGATATCTCCACGTCACCCAGCTCTGAAGAGAAACTGCACGGGCTCTGCTCGTTTAGGGTGAGGCTATTCGTCTCTTTACTAACAACCCAGTTGCGCTGCTGGACGCCCCCTGTGTATTGCCACGACCACTGGGTCTTGGGTAGCAGAGGATGAAGTTTTCGTCTTGCTTCCCACGCTTCGCGATCTTTGGGCTCTCTCGAGTTGCGCTGCGACTTCGTTTCTCGCGATGAGATGAGCCAGTTATCCATGAGGTTGTCCGGATCGGTTGGGATCTTTTCGCTGGCGCCCTCGACCCGCTGTTGCTTCCGAGGCCGAAGCTCACGGTCCAAGTCGATGGTATTGTCCACGGCCATCTCAGTGTGTTGGCGCTTGAGAGTGGTATTATTAAAGTATCGCAGCATTTTCATGGGGTTTAGAGGCCGTGCTTAAATAGGTTGCTAGTCGACGACGGCACTTGGTGAAAGAATTCACAGGTCACCCACAGCTTATATGAATAAAAATGCTAGCAGTCGGATGTGAGTTTGAATGTAAGTGTGAATGTAAGTCTGGATGTGAATGAAAGGCTGTATTCAGGGTCGTACACCTCATGCTGCTGGATATCAGACAGAGAAATACAAGTACAGCCTCGCGACATGGGCAAGAGTGTTTGTTGTGTCTTGTGCCGTCAACGCCACGCTGCATTGCTTTGAGGTAGATGAATCACGATAAGCACGGTGAACAGAAGAAATGCCAGTCAAGCATGAGAAGCTGGATGATGAGAGGCGAGTCGTCCATTAGACGAGCAGCGATGGATAAGGAACAAATATAGGCATGACATTGAGATCTACCTAGGCTGGGACTAATCGTGGCGGAGCCGAGCGAGGCAAACACATACATGCAGCTTCAACGCAAGGTGACGAGCTACCAGAGGCGTAGTTAAAAATTATTCTAAAAGCCATCTGAGTAAGTCAAGCTGATCTATTCATTAGCTTAAGGAGGTTCATTTCCCATTAAAACAGGAAGAATGTAAGTAGTCACGTGACATCCAAATCTACCATTCTTTACGGATAGTTCCCGCTACCCGTAGCTAGCGTAGTTGTTGTTGTTGTTGTATTTATTAACGTCGGGCGGGTATCCAAAACGCAATGCTTGGACCTTAGGGACCTCCTATAGGGTACGGCGACGTGCTAAGTAGAGGAATTATATACAAAGTACTATCTAATCGAGAGTAAAAACCACGTTAAGGAAAACCTCTCGTCAAATAGCTGAACACCCGTAAACCCTTTAAAAGCAATTTATAGTGATGTGCGTCGAGTTTTCTTTCGACAACTGTCGAATACGTATGGCCTTACGGGCGGCCTCGATCCGTATAATACAAAAATCGTTCTCTTTCGTCGTAGAGCTAAAAAGGCTCGCGTTCGTAGCCTTTAGATAAAGCCGGTGTGTTTGCAGAACGCTCTGTCGAAGGCGCAGTACCGTGTTTTCGATCAATCGAACTAAGCCCTTCCTATCTTATCTCTTATACACGTTCCCCCTCTATCGCAAATCCTCCTGGTCTTTTCAGTCGGTATGCCCGTCAGGTATAGATCGTAGTCGGCGTAGTATTCGAGAAGAAGGAGGGAGGTTCGGAATCGCCGGTAAAGGGAAATCTCTTCGAGGAGACGTCGCATGTCGATGATTCAATTTCGGCTCTCCAGACTCTTTATCTCTCTTTCTACCGCAGGAGAAAGAAAGAAAAAGAGCTGAAGGTTCGTAAGGGGCACCTCGTACAGGTAAAGAATCGTAGCCCCCCCCCGTAGCTAGCGTAAAGGCGAAGAACAGGCTATATTCTAGCCTCAAGGAAAGGAGCAGCTGAAAAGAAGCTCAGCACCATGAGCCATCTCAAGGCATTGTGATTTTGAGCATGAGAGTTGCCGATTCATACACCGAGAAACCGAGATTTGAAAGGATCCACTGGAATGGACCTTGATCTTCAGCCGTGGGGTGAATTCAACATCTGGTATCCAGTTAGCGACAAGCGCCGCCTCCATCGATTTTTTTGAAATTGTTATTCAAACGATACTATTAGAAATAGTTTTTTTAATAATTTAATCGTATTTCATTGAGAACGAGGATTAGACTATCTTTAATATTTAAAACGAATTCCTTAATAAACGTGTTTTCAAAATTTGGACAGTGGCGGCCATAGGATGGCCATAGGACGGCTTAAAGCTTAAGGACGGCCAACAAAGTGAACGATTTATGATTTAGAATATGTATTGATTTAAACGGTCCAATGACCGTCTTTTATAGAAGAAGATCAGAGGATCACTGAAATTGACCCCTTACCTGCCTTTAAGGTACCTGATTCGGCTTCGTCTGCGTATGATTCGATGCTAATTCAAAGCCCCAGCCCGGCCTTTACGGCCTTTAATCTGACACCGGAAGGGGTTTTCCCTTTACCGGCGGTTCTGTAATCGTCGGTTGCCAGGGTAAGGTAATCCTGAATAAGACGTCCGGATGTTTCTAGCGGAAAGCTGAAGAATCGCTAGTCATCCAAGCCGTAAGTGAAAATGATCTCGAATTTCAATTTGTTCCACGGACCAGGATCCTTTATCTACAAATCCATTTAATAGAAATGAAAAGGCTGTGCCACGTACTCATTCCTGTGACCTATTAATAGTATACGTCTACACATTGGGTATCAGTACAGACAGCTCTCGCCGTCTTCATTGTGATTTGAATATCAAAGGTATAAAACCAACTTCCAGCGATTTGATAATACATCTTTCGTCATACGCCCTACCATTGGACCACCAACATTTCCATAGGCCCATTCGAATCAAATTATTCATGGTCCTTCTGAAGTCCTTGTCTCCCACGCCCGATCCGATCCGCCAGTCCCATATTACCAGCCTTCCTATTCAATCCATGAATGAAATCTCCCTTGTCGCCATATTTCGAAGACCTCGCCCTAGCCTTTTCCTCTGCTTCATGTTGAGCCTTCTCCTGCTCCGCGATGGCTGCTAACCGCTTCTCCCTGTCAATGTCTAGGCTTGAAGCATCCTGTTGCATGGCAGCCAGCCTTCGCTGTCGTTCGGCTTCCTTATCCTCGTTGGGTGTATAGACGACTTCACTTTTCTTTGAATTGTATAGTCTCGGTCGCTTCGGAGACGAAGATCTTGAATCGCCGGATGATGTGTTTCGTCTCGTCTTGCGTTCGTAGTCTCTATCTCTTGTTCCGCGGTCCCGTCCACGTCCCCTTGGCGAAGCAGATCTTCTTTTGTCCTCTGGCGATGCTGATCTTCGATGCAAGTGTGTTCTTCTCCTGTCTTCTGGCGATGCTGATCTTCGACGCAAGTGTGTTCTTCTCCTGTCTTCTGGCGATGCTGATCTTCGACGCGAATATGTTCTTCTTCTTTCCTTTGGCGAAACGGATCTCTCGCGCGAGGCTGATCTTCTTCGCCGGTGCTCGGTCCTGCTACTTCTGTGCCCGTCGTCCTCCCTCCTCCTCCGTCTGTGACCCCGCTCCTCAGAATTATCCCGATGGCGGCGGTGGTGATGTCTGTGACTACGCTTCTCCTTTCTCTCTGGCTCGGCCTGTCCTGCAGCTGCAAGAAGCTGCCTGCGCTTGATCGGATCGTTCATCATAGCTTCGTATGCAGCCTGCTCCTGTCTCTTGATCGCCAACATCGGATCTTCTCTAACCTTAGCCGCAGTATCCCTTAGAGTATTCGCATGCTGCAATGCCATAAAGCTGTCCTCGGCAGCTTGCTTCTCCAACTTTCTGTGGTCGGTACCCTTGATCAGCGGGTCGATTCGTCGCTTTCCCAAGAGATATCCTTCCATCTCTTCCGTAGTCCCGACCTGGCCACTCGAGGGCCCCTGGTACATCCAGTCCACACGATCGACACGTTTTCGGCTTCCCGCAGCCTCGAGCTCCCGCTGAATCTCTTCCTTCTTCTGCTCCTCCTTCAGCTCCTTGATGCGCAAATCGGTCTTCTTTCGCTCCTCTAGCGCCTTGTTCTCTTCCTCCCACACCCGCCTCTGATTGCTCATGAGCACGGGATGCCATGACTTCTTCAAGTTGAGATCACCACCCATCCTGTCAATTCTTTTGGAGGGTGAGGCGAGGGTGTTGTGGTTTGATGTTGTCGTCACAAATGGAATCTGGGTTGAGAATTGCTCGGATGTAATATGTACATTGATAAGGCGGAAGTGGAGTCGGGCCTTCGCTAGTCTAGCGCCGACACTGGCCAATCAGAGGTTAATAAGTTCAATAAGTTCAAGAGGCTCAAAGGCAGAGAGCAACGCAGCCTTGCGCATAGTAAACCCCCGTCTCGACATTGGTACTAACTTCACATCATCGACATCGACAAGAACAACAACAACAATAACAAAATTGATAATAAACTGCAGCTTAAATCAACTCGCACTTCTCAAACCTCAGCAAGTAATCTAGGCATACCAAAATCATGTCTGATGACGATGATTTCATGCAAGACTCGGACCAGGAGGGGTAGGTCAAGCTCTATCTTCCGGAGAAATATCTTGACATTTATAGATACGACTTTGAATACGAAGAGGACGACGACGAGGAGGGTGGTGATGTCGATATCGAAAACAAATATTACAATGCCAAGCAGATGAAGATAAACGAGCCAGAAGCCGCCATCGAAGAGTTCCTAGGAGTCCCGGCGTTAGAGCAGGAGAAGGGCGATTGGGGATTTAAAGGTCTGAAGCAGGCAATCAAGCTGGAGTTCAAGCTTGGGCTGTATGACAAGGTAAACAGGCCCATTGTCAAAATCCGCATGGAAAATGTACTAACTTCCCAGGCTGTCGAACACTACAAGGAACTCCTCACCTATGTCAGAAGCGCCGTCACCCGAAACTATTCCGAGAAATCCATCAATAATATCCTGGATTACGTAGAGAAGGGTGCTGAGGACCTTGCGGCAGGACAATGTTTGGAAGAATTCTATTCTCAAACCCTGAAGTCCTTTCAAAGTACCAACAACGAACGACTCTGGCTGAAGACCAACACCAAGTTGGCAAAGCTCTATCTGGACCGAAAGGACTATGCCACTGTTACGAAGAAGTTGCGGGAGCTACACAAGGCCTGCGAGCGGGAGGATGGTACTGATGATCCGAGCAAGGGGACATACTCGTTGGAGATTTACGCTCTCGAGATTCAAATGTACGCCGAGACCAAGAACAACAAGCAACTGAAGAGACTGTACGAGCGAGCTCTGAAGGTCAAGTCCGCAGTACCGCATCCGAAGATCATGGGCATCATTCGGGAATGTGGTGGCAAGATGCACATGAGCGAGGAGAACTGGAAGGATGCTCAGAGTGACTTCTTCGAGTCGTTCCGCAACTACGACGAGGCTGGATCCCTGCAACGAATCCAGGTCCTCAAGTACTTGGTGCTCACGACGATGCTGATGAAGTCCGATATCAACCCCTTCGAGTCCCAAGAGACGAAGCCCTACAAGAACGACTCGCGTATCGCAGCTATGACCGAGCTTGTGGACGCTTACCAACGAGATGACATCCACCAATACGAGTCGGTTCTCAAGAGCAACATGGACCTCCTCTCCGACCCCTTCATCGCCGAGAACATTGACGAAGTAACACGCAACATGCGTACAAAGGCTGTTCAGAAGCTCATTGCACCCTATACACGCTTCAACATCGCGTTCATCGGCAAGGCGCTCAAGATTCCCGTCTCCGAAGTTCAAGACATTCTGGGCTTCCTGATCGTCGATAAGAAAGTCAAGGGCAAGATCAACCAACAAGACGGCACCGTCGAAATCGAAGATAACAGCGACGCGGAACGCCTCCGTGCCCTCTCCGAATGGACTTCCGCTGTCGACGCGCTTCACAAGACCCTCTTTTCTGACGGCGAAGGCTTTAAGACATCGGATATCCCACAAATCGGTGATGAATCGCTCAGCAGGATCCCCATGAAGGCGGGCTTTGTCCCCACGACCAGTGGTATAAAGAGAGGCCGAGGCGGCAAGAAGATGTCGGGATTTGGTAGTGGTTAGTAGGCCTTGTCTGGGTTGCTGTCCTGTGACAGCAATTCTGATTCGGGCCGACTAACCAGTTTCTCATTTTCCTGATTATCTAGCACCTCCTCTTCCAGCCTTCACGGGCTCTTCTAGTGCCGAGTTTGCGAATACCCTGTCGAACCTTCAACTGCTATCCACCGGTACATCACATAGTTTTGGTGGCTTTACCCCCGCGGAGCTCGGGCCCCAACACGATAATTGACGAGTGATGACTGGAAAGACGGGACGCGTTACTTTTCCTTCCACGGCGTGGCATTGTGGGTGGGGGTGGTGTTGCCGGCGTTGGTTGTGTAACATGGCCGTGCAATGGGGGCTTGTAATCTCTTTTGCTGCGGTCGGCAAGCATTCCTCGGGCCCGAGGAACTGTACATTAGGTGCGGATCGCATGGTAGACCGTGAGTGAAGAGACGATGCCGCATCGCGTCGGTGCATGCATGAGATACGCGCAACAATGCATCGAGGTGGCTAGGTTTGATTTGGCTCCTTCCCCATTGGCCCTCCTCTCCATCTCATCTCATCTCATCTCATCTCTCCCTTCTCGCGTGCTCCGGAATTTCGCATCCGCCATGCCCAACCGAGCGTGATGCGATGGTCGCTGGATCGTGAACGTTGTCGATTCTGCACGAGACCGGCGGCGTGTTTGTGGATGAGTTGAGTCCATGGTTTCTGTCTGCGCTACTGTATGTATGTCTAGACCCGAAGTAGCTCCATGGTCTATTCTATTCGTCTATCGTCTATCGTCTATCGTCTATGTACTTGTACTTGTACATTTTCTTCGCACTCACAAGGGGAAGAAACAAGACCGCAAATTGGTGGGTAGGTAGGTAAGTACTCGCAGCCTCCAGCAGCCAGCCGACCACGATCGGTCAGAATCAGGAAATCGGACAAAGGGGAAAACGGGGAAAGGGGGAAGTATCCACGGAAGTGCCCTTTACAGTCCCCGGTCGGTCGGTCGGTCGGTCGGTCGGCAGTTACGGAGCTGGAGCTGAGGTACCTAGGTACAGACAGCTCTTGGGATCGATCGGATCGATCTCATCAAGTTAGTAGCGGGTTGTATTATTCCTAGGGGCCCGTTCATTGCGCATGTTCATGTTGATACGGAGAACGTAGACGGAACGGGAAGATGCGCCCCATAGCCCGATTCATGTGTCATCTATCATGTATATTATTATACGAGAGATCATGTTATCTCAGATCAGATCGGATCAGATCAGATCAGGTCAGGTCAGGTCAGGTCAGGTCAGGTCAAGTCAGGTCAGATCAGAAACTGCCGCCTCCGCCTCCTCCTCCTCCTCCTCCTCCTCCTCCTCGCGTGCATACGGATCCGTACAGATAGGTAGATGAATCCCACGTGTCGGTCGGCAGATGAGGCCTAGCTACTACCGTACTAGTCGTAGCTACCGTACTTAGGACCATGCTTTTCTTCCCCGGCGGCGCCCAGCTAAAGCCGCGGGCCCTCGGACGGGACGGGAGCGGGAAGTCAGATATACGGAGTAGTACGTTCAGTACTTCCTGCACAGACGGGGCATCTACGTTGTATGAGTGGTTGGGGAAGACAGTAACTGCCGACCCGGACTCGATCCACCCCAGGGGGTAACCTACTTACTGACTTAATAAGTGGAGATGACGGGGGGTTAGTCATGTGATGGGAGTGAAGAAAGCTTCGAGGTCTCAGGTCTCAGGTCGGTGTCTGAGGATCCTTCTTCTTGTTCTTTTTTTTTTCTGTGCGTGGCTTGGCTTGGTTGCGATCCTTTTGCCGTATCTATTTCGGCTTATGGTTTCTTGCTTGCTTGCTTGCTTGCTTGCTTGCTTGCTTGCTTGCTTGCTTGCTTGCTTACACGGAGGTGCTGGACTCTACGTCTCAGGCGAGGAGTTCAGGATCGCAGACAAGTCTGCTTGGTCTTGGTTTGGGGCCTTGGGAGCCGGAGTCGATAGAGTTTGGATCGGTCGTCGTCGTCGAGATACAGCCACAACCATAACTACCTAGATCCGATAATATACTTATGACGGGTGATACCGTACAGAGTGGGTAGAGTGGCCGCGGGATCTGGGACCGGGATTTGGGATTGGGAGCTTGTGAAGGTGATTGGACTCTACGGAGTATAGAAGCCCGAGAGATCCAAAGAGCGAGGGGGCTGGCCTGGTCGGGCAGTGCAGTGCAGCACGATGTCATGTATCAAGCCAGTTATACTTCGTGGGACATGAAGAATCGTAGACCTTTCAAAACAGACGCAGTAAGCGCGCCATTCAAGGGGGCGTGGCATTGGCATTGGCATGCAGGTGCAAGCTGCAGCAGAGGCGTTACTTCGCACAACAGTAGGTACTCACTCTATCTACCTTGTAGATAGGCGGAGGCCATGAGGTCGTCTCCTCTGATAGGAGAGTCTGCGGGCGTTATGGTGTTACTGCGGTCCAGCGCATCTGGTGGCACGATGGGTGTCTGCAGGAGGATGAGCGATCAGGGAGGGGGTTGGGGAGGGAGAGAGAGAGAGAGAGAGAGAGAGAGGAGGAGAGAGAGAGAGAGAGAGAGAGAGAGACACACACACACAGAGAGAGAGAGAGAGAGAAAGAGAGAGGATTGATCAGAGGAATGCGGTCCAATATGTAACGCGATGCAATGCCATGCAATGCAATGCCCCAAAAGCCAAGGAGCCCTCTCGATTTCCCATCGTGTGTAACAGCTAGGTAGAACAGAGAGACAAGAGCCAACAGGATCAGGATCAGTCTGCAGTAACAAGTTCTAGAGCAGGCGCAACAAGGAACCACATCTCATCGCTCAATCAATCATTGGGGCTCGGTTGATGCTTTCACTTGTCTCCCATTGCCCAAGATCCGAATCCGCATCCAAATCCATCCCCTCAACTTGAGCTCTCACCCCACGTGCAGCAGAAGCAGCAGCGGCCCTGCCCTGCCCTGCCCTAGCACATCGTCGTTGATGTTTGTTGGCAGGGGATCTTTCGGTCCATCTGTCCATCCGTCCATCCTATGGTCTCCCCCCAGCGTAATCACGCCAACGAGTCAAGGCGCCTCGATTTGCCTTAGCCAGGCCATCTCGAGCAGGCATTTCGACTGCAACTGCAACTGCAACTGAGACTACTGCGACTGCGATTCTGCTGCGGACAAGAACTGGATGCATTCCTTCATCGTCTGTGCTGCCACCCAGATCCGGAATTTGAGGCCAACAACTTACTTGACGGCGGCAGAGGAAGGAGAAGGAGAAGGAGAAGGAGAAGGAGAAGGAGAAGGAAAAGGAGAAAAGGGAGAAGGGAGAAGATCGACAGGTTCAATTCCCACTGGACCCCGACTGCAAGTGGCCAGCTTGCTTGCTTGCCTGCTTGCCCTTGTGCGACGCGATAAGAGAGAGAAAGAGAGAGGGAAAGCAGAGAGGCAGAAAGACAGAGGGAGAGGGGGGGAGAGAGAGAGAAGAGACAGGACTGTGCAGCAGTTCTTGGAAAGGCTTCTGTCTTCTGCCCAGCCTAATAATAGTACCGTATTAAAATACTTTGCTCATTCCTATTCTTTGCGCCAAAGCATACAGACTCTCGTACACTGGCTTGTTTGATCAGGACCAGGACCAGGACCAGGACCAGGACCAAGATCCAGACGCTCAGCTTTACCCGCTCCGGCTCGGCACGAACGCTTCAAGCTTTAGATATATTGAATTACTGTCACAGTTAGGGCAGGACTGGACTGGGCAGGGCAGGGCAGGGCAGGAAAGAAGAACAACGAAAAAGACAGAGGAGAGTAAGACAGCAAATGAACAGGAAAGAAGAAGATCCCAAGGACTCCAGAGATACTAAAACAAAAAAAGACAAACCAAAAGTAGAGGAAAAAGAAACCGAGAAAGGGAAGCAAGAAAAAGAAGAAGGGACATGTTCCAACCACAAGCGACTCCTATATTCACCACGTATGGCGTGAACGCGAATGTGAATGCGCATGCGCAGCCGCCGAACCTTGGTGTTGTTGGTGTTGACATCGCTCCCACGGCTTCTAGCGATCGCTTCGTCCCCATCGCGACCAACGCTTCAAACCACCAGCACCATTACCACCCGCACAACTACCAGAAGATGGATAACGACATCGCAGCCCAGGAGGCACTGGCACGGGAATACAACCCGGTGCTCGAGGTACGTGTGGTGTGCCAATCTATCCTATTGGGCTCGATGTTCTGTTGTGCCATACTCTGCTATGCTATTCTACTCTCCTCTCTACTCCTACTCCTGCTCCTACTCTACTACATATCAAAATGCAGAAGCGTTGCAATCTGATTAGTGCTAATTAAAGTGCGCAAGCAGGGCCAGTTGGTGGGGGAAAAGAAGAGCAGCCTCGCCATCACGGCGGAGTATGCAAAGGCAGACCCCATCTACGTCGCAAAGACGACGGTATGCATACACTACTTATTGATTGATTTGCTTCTTTCTATCGATCTGCATCGGCAGGCTAATCATATTTGCTAGGTCTTGCCGCAAAAGTACTCGCATTATCGGCCAGTTTTGGGGGATGGCAACTGTGGATGGCGGGGTAAGAAGAGAGCTGTTTCTTTCTCTTGAAGTTGAAGGGCTCTCCCTCTCCCTCTCCCTCTCCCTCTTCCCATCCTGCAGATACATCCATATCCTCAAAAAAGATGTCGCTTGCTAATTACCCACCGCTCCCTCACAGCTGCCGGCTACTCCTACTTCGAAACCCTCCTCCGACTGCAGGACCGCAACCGGTTCGAGGAGGAAATCGCCCGCATGATCTCCCTTAACAATCTCCTCACAACCGCCGGGGGCTTTGCGTCATGGCTGTTCGAAGATATGGTGGAGCAGACGACGGATCTTCTCCGGGACATGGCGGAGTTAGTGGAGTCGTCGCCGCAAGACGCGGGGGAATTGCTGCGCCAGCGATTCAACGACGCGAGCATCTCGAACTCCATGATCTACCACCTCAGACTCCTGGCAAGCTCCTGGTTCAAGGCCAACGTCAGTCTCTACGAGGGCTTCATACCGGATAACCATGGGGTGGAAGGCTACCCGAAGAATATCCTCGAGCCAGTCGACACCGAGATTGACCACCTGGGCATGACACTCCTTATCGACGTGCTGTTGAAGCCCATTGGTGTCTCGGTGGAAATCGTCTACCTCGACCGGAGTCCAGGCTCGCAAGCAAACACCCATCTCTTCCAATCGCTGGATGCCAATGGGAATGCGACGAACCCCCACGGCCCCATGATTCACCTCCTCTTCCGGCCTAACCACTACGACATCCTCTACAAAGACCAAGGCTCGACCACCATACCAGCCGTTCAGGAGGCCATGCGAAACCATACAAACATCCAAGTCAACAGAGCGACCAACTTCAGTCAACACCAGCCCTTCCAAAGCACACCTGCCTCCTCAATGGGTGGCTACTCTCAGATGGACCAAATGTCACTGCTCTCATGTATACCTGGCTTCTCCTTGGCACCTCAACCATCGCATCACGGCTTCCCCTCTCAACTCTCTTCACGAATCGACCACTATCCCCCCTCCTCCTCTCCGATATCCGCCTCCATGTCGCCCATCTCCCCGGCCGCCTCGTTGGCCGCCGCAACATCCTCCAACGCGCTCCCGACTTCTTTCCCCGTGCAACCGCAACCACCTCCCCCAACCACCTCGCTGAGCACACCACAAGCACCCCTCGCCTCGCCACACCCACACCTGGCCTTCCCCAACACCACAACTCAACTCCCAATCCTTACGCACCTCCCGCCGTCGCTGCCACAGCGCCGCTCCATCTCCTCGCATCCGTCTCTGTCAACTAACTCCTCCTTGGGAGGGTCAGAACTGTCATCCCCCCCCAGTAGCGCTGCAATGACCAGTTTCCGCCCAAGCAAATACGAGCTGGAGTCGGCGGCCGACTGGGAAGAAGGGCCGGTTGTGTTCCAGACGTCGACGTTCAAGAACAGCCACTACAATACGGCGCATTACAACAACCCGAATTTCCAGCCCGAGGAATGGACGCCCGAATGCGAAGAGGCCCTGGTGAGGAAGAGAAGCAGCTGACGCGTGGAAATGAGGGTGCCCGCGCAGAGGGAAGAAGGCAAAATGGAGGGCAGCAAGAGCATGAGCGTAGGGGGAGGGCAAAGAAAGATCTGAGGCTCTACAACGACGTGGTATGAGAAATGACATTTACGACACGCATTCAGCATAAATCGGCGGATCGGCATCTTCCGGCGGGGGGAGTTTACTGCACCAGAACAGAGGCATATCAACTGAGGAGAGGAGATCAGAGCAGTGGCACACGATTGCATTTGACTTTTGACCATTCATTCACATCGTTTCGGAGAAGACGGAATTATCCGGTTCTGAGCAAGCGTAGCAGCGAAAATATGGGAGCGGGCGTTTGTATTGATGCTTGGTTGGTCCTCTGGTTTTCAAGCTGCCTGTTCCGCATGGGTCATCTAAATATTTCTGCATGGCGTGATACGAAGCTCTACTGAATGGAATCCTCGAAAGCAAAGCTGGTGGGGTGGAGGAGGCGTGCTGGTGTTTGTTGGTGGGGGTGGGGGGGGGGGAGTTCGGATGCATCGCATACTTTGAGGAAGAGCTAGGTAGCTGAATGGCAGCGAGAATCTGAGCCGCTGTCCTGTTCGTGCCTCTCTTTATGAATCGCTGAGGAGCAGTTTTCTGAAAAATTAACGCGGAGGGGAGTAGCTAGGCCGTCGGGAGTGAGTGAGTGAGTGAGTGGGTAAGTAAGTTGATGTGCCTCCCGTCGTCCGTCGTCCCTCGTCTGCAATTCTGCGTGTCATCCTCGCTTAAGTAGTCCCATTTCCGTACCGTATGGTTCTACTATACAACTACCTCTCTCTCTCTCTCTCTCTCTCTCTCTTTTTTTATATATATATAATCCGAACACAACACCGGTAATTCCTCGACGCGAGGGATTTCGCCAAGGCGAGGCGAGGCGAGGCGAGGCGAGGAGAAGACACGTGAGAGAGATATATAATGTATATACTGTATATACATTCGCAACAAACACTCTGCCCCCCCCAATTCCAATCTCAAGTGACGATTCTATTCATCTATTCATCTGTCTATTCATCTATCTATCCATCTATCCATCTATTTACTCCCATCATCCATCTATTTACTCCCATCATCGCTGGTTCGGAACGTCCATCGACTGCTGCTATCAAGCGACACCGATGCATATTGGATGGTGGTAAGCTGTGCAATCGGGTATCCATCCGCCTGCGTGATCAGGGTTCGTGTCTTCTCTATATACATAATGATCTGCCTCTGCCCACATTTCCCGGTCGGATTCGGCAGCATGCCGGTTGGCCTGTCGGCAAGATCTACCATGGCGGTGCGGCGTTGAAGTGGGAGCTTGCTCGTTTCACACATTGTATCGATACTGTACCATCCATTGGGTCAGCCGCCGACATAACTCAAAGGTTGACCTCGCAACTCACCCGGGCGCACAAGCGAATGCGAAGATTCCGTACGTGGGATTCTGGGAAGGGGACCACCGCAAGACTAATAGTCTTCGACCCGTCTTCCACAGAGCAGAGCCCATCGTCGGCCGCGGCGCGTTAGCTGCGCCTTATCCGTAGAGATTAACATTAAATTATTTTTCGTTCGAGTCGTGAAATCGTTCGCGTTCTCGCGTGCGGAGGGGTGGACTCTTCATATCCGGAGACTGGGCATCTCCACGATGCGGATGCCACCGCTGAAGCCTCGCGAATCGGCCGGCTGATCTTCGAACTCGAACCGTCCGATCCTCGACACCCGTCCCTCCGTGTGCATGCTGACGCGCGACACCCTCCCGTTCGCATCCATCTGTGACACCCTCCCATCCATCCTCGAGTCGCGGCCGTCAACAGTGTCCATCCGCGAGCTCCTCCCGTCGGTGAAGGTCATGGTGTCGAGCCGGGAGCAGCGCCCATCGGTGTAGGTCCCGTCCGTCATGATGGTTCCCATGCGCGAGCTTCTCCCGTCGCCGTTCTTCTTCAGCAGCTGGTTCCTGCTGCCGGTGCTCCCTGGGTCGAAAATGCTCTTCACCCATCCCGGACTCCCCCCCGTGTCCGCGGCTTGCTCCATCTCATTGGGATTCGGGCTGCCCTTGGCGCCACCGAGAGCGGAGTGTCGCCCAATACAGAATGCAAGGACGATGAGACCCACGATCAGCAGCACACCGGCGACGGCGCCTACGCTGATACCAGCGATGGCGCCAGCAGAGAGGCCCTTCTTCCCCGACGGAGATGTGGGTGATGGCACCGGGGTCGGCGTGCTCGAGGGAAGCGAGGTTGGAACCGCGGCTCTGGAAGCCGATGGAGAAGTGATCATCGTCGGTCGGGCGACGGGTGGGGCGCTCGAGCTCGAGCTCGCGATCTGGGCATCGGGAGTCGTGACCGGCGCGGAGGAGATGGTGCTGGGGATCTGTGTGACCGCCGGAAGTTTTAGCTCACGTCCCTTGGCTGGCCGAGACGAACCGCGGGGAGAGATCACTGACCTGGGGACGGGGAGCGACCCGGGGACCCTCCTGCGTTCCATCCTCGTCCGCATCGCTCGCCTCGTTCACATCGCTCACATCGAAGGGGCCTGATCGGCTCTCCCCCGTCGAGTCCACGAACCTGAGCACGTAGGTTTCCGTGGTCGACAGCGCCGGAGGCGTCCAGACAAAAGAGTTTCCTGTCAGTGCACCTTGGGCCGAAGTTAGCCGCACGCCACGCGCATCCCACGGCGTCGGGCAGTTCCCGAGGAGGGAGGTTGCATACTTGCGATTGTGACGATCTGGGTGCCGGACGAAAGGAGTAAGGAAATGGTGACATGTCCCGTCGCGCCTGACCAGGTGATGCTGAAGGGAGTGCCGACCTTGAGGTTCGCGAAGTCGCTCTCCGCGTTGGTGGGCGTGACCACCGCGACGGTCGGGGCCGTAAATGCCATCATCATGATCATGATACCGGTATAAAAGAGCGACACGGGCAACATCTTGGCCCAATTACCTACCTAGTTCCCCTCTCCAATTCCCGACGCCCAAGAAGAAGCCAAAAGAAAAAGTCCCAAAAGAGTGAGGGAGTGCGGATGAACGTCACTGGGAGAAAAGAAGGAAACATTCCCCAGAGCGGGAGAGGAGAGAGGTAGATGGTGGAATCGAGAGCTCGGAGGAAAGTTAGGCCAGCTCCGGCATACGCATACCGCGTGCAGATATTGTATATTAAGCACAGAGAGGCTGGGATGAGAGGGGATGAGAGGGGACGAGACTGGATTGCACTGGATTACCTATACTGGATTACACTGTATCAGACTTTGGGGGAAATTGGGATCCGGGATCGAGACTTTTCTTCTCGAAGGGCTGACCCACAGCAAGGGCCATCCACGGCCACCCAGTGCCACCCACTGCCACCCAGACGCCATACCATGTCCCTCAGGCGCAGCTTCATGAGCGACAGACCTCTCCCTCCTCACCCAACCCCCTTTTTTTTTTCAGCGCGTCACCGACTATCTGCAATGCAAGTCAATGTTGAGTCCTGCACCGATGGCAAGACGGATCCAGTGGAGAAGCGCGACGTGTGTAATTAATTACTTGAACATCTTTCAGCTTCTGCGACGTGCTGTCCTGTCTGTACACTGTCGTGAAGATACCGGTACCAATACGTAGTGGCACTGTAGGTCGGGAGCGACTAACTAGTACCGTATCCAGTCGTCGTTTCCAACGCGACGGCTCGCCCTGGGTAGGCGGTGGGCGGTGTGGCAGCAGGGAGAAGAAGGTGGGTGACCCCGGACTTCTAAAGATAGGACGACCGTGGTTTTGCTTCCCGGCATCCCAAGCCGCGACGAGCCGCTGCCTACGTAATGCACGGATGGTCCGCTGTTCCGCCTATAGTACAATACCTACCTTACTATCAGCAGAACGGTCCAGAGGCCAGCCCGTCTGCTTCGCGTCTGCTACGTAGTACCTAGTCTACCGTCCTGGAATCATCCCGTCTAACAGCGAGACGAACCATCCTCGCTCACAACCTGACTATCATCAAGAATACCGGTGCCGTATCGAGACCGATTTCGACCTGCCCGCCTACCAGTCTCCCGATTCGGATTTCCAGAAACAAAAAACAAAAAACAAAAAAAAAACAGAAAGAGGCACCCCGCTCCCGCGGACAAGGTGCACGCCTCGCAGAAGGCTCCCTGCAGACAGCTGTCAAAAAAACCACCAAAAAAACCACAACGAATCAATGCACTCGTATCCATCTGAAACGGTTCATGCGCCGACGGGTTGGGATCCCTCCCTGCGCCTGGGATGCAGCTGGCGTCCGCACTCACGTAGTAGTAGTAGTACCTAGACGCAGAGCTCTGTTCACACCTTAATAAGGCGGCAATCCGCGAAAGCGAGAGAGAGAGAGAATGCGAAAAAAGAACATGCTGAAAGACGGAAAGGTGAGATATCAGACAGACAGACGGACGGACCATCATCATCATCATCATCATCATCATCATCATCATCATCATCATCATCATCATCATCATCATTCCCGATCCAGCTTCGCTCTTCGAAGCCCTCCTGAAGCGAGAGAGATATTCACAAGAGACATCTATAAACGATATCCATACGAGATATCCATACGAGATATCCATACAAGACATCCATAAAAATATCTCATAAAAAATAACCATACAATAAAGCTAGTAAATCGTAAACGTAGATTAGAGTTCACTGTCATTGTAGATTAAAAGGTAAAGTGTAGATGAAAGAAGGTAAAATAGAACCGGGTGAGACGGTGGCGGAGTTGAGAAGCTTTTGTCTACTCTTCTCTCCTCTTTTTTTCTTTTCTTTTCTTAGATTAGATTAGAATAGAGTACCTTAGAGTAGATACAGTAGAATACAGTAGAAATACGAAGACCCCGAGAACCGAGAACTTGAAACAGAGGTGGTGCTTTTCTTAGTAGGTCCGCATATTGGCGTGCCTGCAGGCATGCATTCGACCGAGGACACCCAGAAAAAATAATATCGTATCGCAATGGTGCAAATCTCACGAGCTCTCGCAACGAGATGGGAGATTGAATGGGAAGCGATTCACGACGGTCAGTGTGCAACGCGAAGAGGCTCAGTCGCCCTCAGTGTATACTAATCAGACCAGACTAGCGCCCTGAATTAGTCCGGACTAGCGCCCTGCATCACAAAGATGGCGCTCCCGCTACCAGGCTTGCTAACCACGACCGCCGCCGCCTTCTGCTCAACCGTCAAATCCAGCTTCGAGTAATACTCCTCCTCCCACGCCTTCCTCACTGCAGCGACCTTGTCCGCAGGGACGAGATGTACGCTGCATCCTCCCCAGCCGGCGCCCGTCAGCCGAGAGCCATAACTCCCAGCCTGGCGGGCAATGGCGCAGATCTTGTCAATCTCCGGACACGAGCATTCGTAGACGTCGCGACAGCTATCTTGAGTCGCGTTCATCAAGTCGCCGAGAGATTTGTTGAAGGCTGATGTGCCCGTGGCTGGGTCAACACGTGCCGCCGAGGGGTTCTCCAGGATGGAGAGGAATTTCAATACGCGTAGGGCTTCGGTGAAGACGTGCAAGGCCCGCTGCCGGAGCTTGAAATGCGAAGCACGAACGGGGAAGATGGATGTGAAGCGCTCATTGAGAGCTGCGACTGAGAGTCCGATGACCTCGGCAATTTGTTCGCGCGTGTAGCCTTCCTCGCTTGTGAGTGTTGATTTGGTGAGGGCCACGAGCTCGGTAAGCTGTTCCTCGATGGTCTTAGCAGAGTTGGCGAAGTATGTGGAGTGAAGGCCGTGCAAGGAGATTCCTAGGGGTCCAGAATCTGCAGGCAGAGGGGTGGTGGATTTGTTGAGCACGGCGTTCAGGTAGGCGGCTGCCAGAGAGCATTCTACAACGCGTAAGTTGTAGCAGACGGGCCCCGTGACTTGCTTGTCGGATTGTACGAAGGACTGGGCGATGACGAAGCTGAGTTCGGGGTCGGTCTGTGGAAAGTAGACGGGGCGTGCTGTCAGGGTGGGCACGAAAGAGACGAAGAGGGCGGAGCCGCGGAGGGAGAAGACGGAGGCGCTTTGGTCCATACCGCCTGAGTTAACGCCTACAGCTCGTTCAGAGACGATGGCCAACTCAGTGAGGGCGGTTTTGTCGACTTCTGTCTCGCCGTTTGCGAACATGACTGCTAAGGCAGATGCGCTGACAAAAGCTGCAGAGCTGCTGAGCCCACCACCTGCCGGGACTGTGCCATCCATCAATATCTCCATGCTCTTCGGCTTATAGTCCTTCCCATGCTTTGTTCTCAGCAGCTCCAACGCACCCCGCAGACCAGATTTGAAGTAGTTGGTCCACTCGTGGACCTTTGCATCGATGTCTACCGTCTCGTACGGGATATCGAATTCGTGAGAGGGGAATTTCTCGGACTGGATATTGGAGACTCTAATTTTGTATGAGCCTGGTGGCGCTTCGGAGCCGTCAATTACGCGCACTGCGAGGATCACATCGGCCGTGATAGCCATGGGCAGGACTGAGTAGAGCGAGTAGTCGATGTGCTCGCCGATGATGTTGACGCGACCTGGCGAGCGAGAGACGAAGTCGGGAGTTTCGCCATACTTGGCTTTGAACTGCTGTACCAGCTTCTCCCATCTTGTGGTCTGGACTTGCAGCGCATCTTCGGTGTAGATGTCCTTCAGGGACTTTGCGACGGGCACGGTTCCGGCCATGATGGCGGGGTTGATGGCGAGGGTGATTTATTGAGGTTTGTACAGGTAGGTAGGTAGTTGAAGGGGCCGGTCGCTATTGTTGAAAAGCGAGTACCGGTATCATCAACGTGATTCAAGATTGTGTCCTCCGAGGCTTTGGTAATCTCAAAAGTGAATAGTCCATCGTCGCGAGGCCGTTGCTGCGTGACGTCGGCTTTGGCGGGAATGGATAAATGGAGCGCTTACAGGAGTGGAGAGTGATACAATGCAGGTTGAGAGAGATCTGGGGGAATTACAATTAGATAGAAAACTAGATGCTAGACTAACCCATGAAATATCCACATATATGTAGGGGCCACATATATATGTGGGGATTGTTTTTCTTAACTTTGGATCGACTTTGCAGACACATACATTTTTCTAAAGGTATAATGTGTTGATGGGGCTGATTCATGAGACGTTAAGTGCGGCTCTTCGGCTTTCAAATCACGTTACTCTACCTATCTATCATTTCGGCAACCCCACATGGGGACCGATATCGCCAAAAAATTCATCGGGGACTGATCGGAATACGGGGATACCCATGAGTATAACTTTAACTCCTCCACTCCCTCTGTTATTTTCCAACACGAACACCACAGCAAAACATCTCCATCCCGCCGATATACTCACATTGAGAATCGGCTAAACTTACATACGCTTGATTTGCCCCATCCGAGGCCTTTTCATCCACCTGTTTTTGCCTTCTTTCTTTTCTCCTCCCAATTCTAAACTCCACTCCACCATGCTCCGATCAATCCCTCTTAGAACCGCCGCGCGTGCGGTACGCCAAAAGTCGAGATGCTCTACACGCCAAATCTCCCCATCACCGGCGTCTGCGAGCATGGGAATGGTACGAAAAACGCCTGGGGAGACAAGATCACAAACCACCGCCGCCACAGCTTCCTCGACGTGGGTTGCCCCCCTCCCCCTATGAGTCACGGAACCACAACATACTTACAGACAACAGGAAAACAGGAGAAAGCCCGTCTTCTGCCTTCGACACAGCTGCTACACCCGAGAACCCTTTACAACACTCCCAAAAGAATGGTCGGTCACATTCAGAGATGGATGAGTCGTAGGTCCCTGAGTCTTCGCCTCTCTTACCCAGATATTAACAGGCTTGCAGATTTATCGGGAAGACTGGTGGCGAGATTTTCCACGAGATGATGTTAAGACAGGGCGTCAAGCATATCTGTGAGTGCCTTCAAAATTCAGTTGTTGTCGTTGCTGACCCTCGCGTAGTTGGATATCCTGGTGGTGCCATTCTCCCTGTATTTGATGCCATCTATAACTCGAAACATTTCGAGTTCATTCTTCCAAAACATGAACAAGGTGCTGGACATATGGCTCAAGGATATGCGCGAGCTTCAGGAAAACCCGGCGTGGTTCTTGTTACTTCAGGTCCCGGTGCAACGAACGTTATTACGCCGATGCAAGATGCCCTCTCCGATGGGACTCCCATGGTAATTTTTACCGGTCAGGTCGTCACAACCGCCATTGGAAGCGATGCCTTCCAAGAGGCTGATGTCATTGGTATCTCGAGGGCATGCACAAAGTGGAATGTGATGGTCAAGAACGTAGCGGAGCTACCAAAGCGGATAGCGGAGGCCTTCGAGATTGCTACGAGTGGAAGACCCGGACCTGTCCTGGTGGATTTGCCCAAGGATGTTACGGCTGCTGTTCTCCGGAAAGCTATTCCGACGGGTAGTACAATCCCATCTCCTCCCAGCCAAGCCTCGAAGATAGCTCAAGCCCACATCAGACAACAGCTCGAGGCGACCGTCAGCCGTGTGGCAAACTTGATCAATATTGCCAAGAAGCCAGTGATATATGCTGGACAGGGTGTCATCTCCCTCCCGCAAGGACCCCAGCTCCTCAAAGAGCTTGCAGACAAGGCTTCTATTCCCGTGACGACGACTCTCCAAGGACTTGGTGGATTTGATGAGCTTGACCCCAAGTCTCTCCATATGCTCGGTATGCACGGCTCTGCCTACGCCAACCTGGCCATGCAGGAGGCCGATCTCATTATTGCTCTTGGGGCACGTTTCGACGATCGTGTCACAGGAAGCATTGTCAAGTTCGCTCCTCAAGCCAAGCTCGCAGCAGCTGAGGGACGTGGTGGCATCGTGCACTTTGAGATCATGCCCAAGAACATTAACAAGGTTGTTCAGGCTACCGAAGCCGTAGAGGGCGATGTTGTGGACAACCTTGCCCTCCTCAACCCCCTCGTTGAGGCCAAGAGCATGACTGACCGCAAAGACTGGTTCGACCTGATCAACTTCTGGAAGGAGAAGTTTCCGCTCAGCAAATACGAGAAAGCCTCGCGCACTGGCCTCATCAAACCTCAGACCCTTATTGAAGAGCTCTCAAATCTTACTGACCACCGCAAAGAGGACACCATCATCACTACTGGTGTCGGCCAACATCAAATGTGGACTGCTCAGCATTTCAGATGGCGCTACCCCAGAACTATGGTTACTTCCGGTGGTCTCGGAACGATGGGTTACGGCCTCCCTGCCGCTATCGGTGCAAAGGTTGCCAAGCCAGACGCTCTCGTCATCGACATTGACGGCGACGCTTCCTTCAATATGACTCTCACAGAAATGTCCACTGCTAAGCAATTCAACATCGGCGTTAAGATTATCGTCTTGAACAACGAAGAGCAAGGCATGGTCACGCAATGGCAAAATATATTCTACGAGGATAGATACGCACACACCCACTCTGAGAATCCTAACTTCATGAAGCTGGCCGATGCTATGGGTATTCAGGCTAGACGATGCGTCAAACCGGATGATGTCAGGGATGCGCTCAAGTGGTTGATTGAGAGTGACGGCCCGGCTTTCTTGGAAGTCGTTACGGATAGGAAAGTGCCTGTTTTGCCCATGGTGCCTGCTGGCAGTGGACTCCATGAGTTCTTGTTCTTTGATGACAGTAGGCCTTCTTTCCCTTCCCTTCTGTCTTCCAAATATACGCTAACAATATTATAGCCAAGGACAAAGAGCGCAGAAAGCTAATGGCCGAGCGCACAGGCGGTAAACATGGAGGCGACTGAACGACCTGATGTTGATTTGACCTTCTTACCTCTCTTTTGGGTTCGGAGCTGGCATTTTTTTGCGGTGGTGGTGTTTGGAAACGAAATCAAAAGTTGATTCGAACTTTTCCACATTCGATGCGGCGAAAGACTGGCTTTTATGCATAAGCGGCTTTAAGCGACTCGTTGAGATCAGAAACTTGGAGGCGAGAAGTAGTGATGGGGGTTAGCGGGAAGGAGAGCAGAGGCGTATTTGTAGATGTGACAAATAACAACGGAGAGCTTTCACTGCAAGGAGACTTTGCCTACTTTACTGTTTCTAATGTTTCCTGAGTGAGCATGCATATGTGTATTGCCATGCATGTATTCGTGGCCCCGCCTCTTCCCGTAAGAAAGCACGAAAAGACTAGGGAAGTACAGGAGTCTAGCGCTACTACAGCAACATGCATCATCTATAACAAATTGCTAAACAATTGGGGATGTTGCTCTTTCTGCCTCTTAAATATAGTAGTCCCTTCTGTAAAGTTTTGTCAAGAGGGGAAGAGATAAGAGAAAGGCACAGGACTAGTCTTGGCAAGAATGATTACAGATGCGAGGAAAAGGAAAGATGAAACGAAAGAAGGGGAGAGGAAGAAAGAAGAAAGAGGAAAGAGGAAAGAGGCAGGGGGAATATAAAATCTTGAATGAAGACGGGCCCGGGCCATTTTACGATTTGAACGGAGTAAGGGGGGGTACGGCATGTTTCGAAGATCGAGGATGGTAGGTATTTAGGTAGTTAGGTAGGTAGTTAGGTAGGTACCTAGATGGGGATAGGAAGTTACTTGGAAAAAATAGTCAGATTGGGCTTAGCAAGGTAGGTGGTTGTGTGGGTAAAATAGAGGTGCGGGCAAGATGAGAAGCATAAGTAAGTAGGTAAGGTGAATGAAATGAAATGAATGAAGTGTTGTCTTTGGAAAGGGGAGTCAGTAGTCGACGCACAACCGAGCTCTATGCTCATGCACATCTCAGGTGTTTCGCGAAGTGGTTATGCACGTGCACAATTTGACAACCTCACATCTCACTCAGTATTCAGCAGCGCTGCCTTCACCAACCCAACACCTTCAACACCTCCAACACCCACACAGCCATGGATCCCCCATCAGAAGAGCCGGCAACGCCTAAGAAGCACACGCGAAATGCGTCGTCAGGTCGAGGAGGTCAGTCGCATATATATCATACACTGCTGTTGTTTTTGTCTGGCGTGTTCTTTACCAATGTCTCATGAGCTCGGCCGGTCTTTTTAAAGGCGAGAACTGTTGAGATACCAGAGGCTTTCATGCTACTCATTGCTCTTTTGTTGAATATTTGCGAATATTTCCATTTTATCTGTTTGTATACGGAGTAGAGCAGGGGATGTCGTACGGCCTTTGGGGATGAGGGGATGGAAGCGTTGTAATTTATATCACGTGGAAGCTATTGTCGAGGTATGATCCGAGCGGATCCTTGAAACAAAGCATCCTCAAGCGCAAACAGCGTGTCTGGCGCTAAATATGCGATATGCAACAAAGTCTTGAAGCGTTTGAGTCGAACGACAGTGTCAAGGTGGTGTTTGGTGGAATCATGGTTAAGGAAGGAAGCGTTAGATATTTCCTCTTTAGTGTTGTCACTTGACTATCATCTCTTCTGTAACGATTTATCTTTCTGCTATGAGCGTAGTCGATCTGAAGAAAGGAAGCTGGAAATAATCTAACTCGTCTTATAGCTCTCCCCAGGCGTCCAACCCGAGGACCTTTAGAGGTCGCCGAGTGCGTTCCCCTTCCCCCTCCTCGCCTCCATGCTGATGCTGAATGACTACAACAAGCTCTCCCATCAGTTCCCCAGCCCGGCCCTCAATCAAATCCACACCACCCCCAAACCTCCGCCAACAGCAATCCTCACAACTCTCAACCACCGCCTCCCAACACGCCACGCCGCGCGTACCTTCCCCTGGACCGGGCTCCAACCTAACAGCCTCCTTCGTCACAGCACGCACCTCCCTCTCACCATCCAGACCCGGATCCAGATCCAAAGACACGTCCAACATGTCTACCACCAGCCCGGCCATTCAAAAAGACTTCTCCTTCCTCGTTCGCCCGGAGATCTACCACCCCCTCACCCTCCTCGACGTGCCTCCCCCCTTCCGTGCCGCATCGTCAGAAATCGACCCCTCCACATCCCTCGCATCTCTTCTCTCATCGGGCCACTTCCGGAATGCCGCTATCAAAGCCGCGCAGCTCCTCACGGCCCCGGGGCTGGATGTGAAAGACCACGCCGCGATATTCTCCTTGGTGTATACCCGCCTCAGCTGTTTAACTTTATGCAACCAGACGCCACTCGCAGCACAAGAGGTCAAAGCTCTTGAGGATCTGAACTCTGGCTACTACCGCGACGACCTGACCGGCGCACATATGGTGCCGTGGGAGCTGCGTGTGCTGGCTGTAAGACTGCAGGGCATGGGCTTCAACGATGCGAGGAGGGGCGTGATGGGGTATTACGACCTAGCCCGCGAAGCGCGCTCTATGCTAAACAAGCTGAAGCGGAAGCGGAGGAAGGAGGAAATTGGAGACGACGCGGCAAGAGCGGAGCTAGAGGGTATTAAGGTTTGGGAGGCCCGGCTGGAGGAGCTGGGCGTCAGGGTTGCGAGCGCATTGGTCGAGATGGAGGACTTAGAAGGGGCGGCGCGGTTTTTGGGGACGCTAAAGCCGGAAACAGGAACGAGGTTGGAGATTCAGAAGGCGCTGTTATGGTTGTGTATTGGAGACGTGGAAGCGGCGCGGAAATGCGTGCTCGGTAAGGGGGATGGGCACGAACAGAAGGTTATCCTTGCGCTGGCGCACATGGCCGACTCGGATTTTGCGGCCGCGGTCGAGACCTGGCGGGCCCTGATCGCCAGCGATGCAGCGGAAGACGATGGTGGGGAGAAAGCAATGTGGATGCAGAACCTGGGTGTCTGCTATCTGTACCTGGGGCGCATGGACGAGGTAAGATGTCCCGTTACCGTCTTTGCAATTTTCCCCATTTCGCTTAATCCCCATTGACCTTTCCCCCCTCCCCTTCCCTTCGCTCTCCTCCCCTTCCTTATTTCAAACAGAACTCGCAAATGCTTACCCACGTCCCACCAACAGGCCCGTACCCTCCTCGAATCCCTCATAAGCGGCGCTCAAGACCTGCACGCTTTCCATTTCCATGCCCTGACCTTCAACCTCTGCACCATTTACGAGCTGTGTACTGAGCGCAGCCGCGGGTTGAAAATCGCCCTTGCGGAACGGGTCGCGGGTATGCAGCAGCAGCAGGGAGATGGAGGGGGGAGTAACGGTGGGTGGGAGAAGGTGAATGGAGATTTCAAGCTCTAAGTTCCATACTTTTTTCTTTGCTTCTGAGGAAGGGAAGGGGGGTGGGGAGGGGAGGGGACTTTTGTAAAGCTAGTTAGTCAATAGTAGATAGGCTGTTGTTGTTGTTGTTGTATTTATTGTATCTATTAACGTCTAGCGGGCTATAGCCTAGCAGGCTGGCTCATCACCCTAGAACCTCCCAAGGGGTAACGGAGACGTGCAAAGCGGAGGGTTTATATATATATATATGTATATATATATACAGTCTATCAAATCGATCTTCTAAGCGCTAAACATTTCCATAGATTGCTATCTTAATTATTCAATACGAAATTTTCAACTTGCTCACAACGACTTGATTTTCATTGCATTCGATTCTTAAGATACGGTTTCTTTAAGAATCCGCTAGAACTAAATCAATAGCTCGTTGCGCTCGCCGCACAGCTCGAGAAATAGTTCTCGTTACTTTATCTCGGTCTTTCGCGAATAATAATAATATTAACAACGCCGATTATACACGGCTTTAAGACGCTATATCGCCGTCTAACTTTACTTAACACTTTAAGAAGAGAAGAAAGAATGCTATTATTAATTTGCAGCTTTTTCTTTTCGTATTAAAACGAAGAGCACCGACTATTAATATAGCGACGAAAGCTATCGAGAGCTACTTCGACGACATCGACCGCGCGGCTGTTATCAAACGACGAGTCTAATAGCAATACGCTTTCGCTTCGGACTAGATTGTAGACGATTAACTTGATCTCGAATTTCGATATTATGCGTAAGAGTTTTTTAAAAGTCTTTTTACGTTTATGCGTACTTATTTATACGCAACTATTAAAGCAGCTACTTTTCTTTTTCTTTCGACCGCTCTTTATAGCAGCGAGCAAACGGCCTTTTTTAAGTCTGTCTTATATG